GGGTGGTGGGGCAACGGATGGGGGTTGAGAAGGCGGGGGTTCGATGCCGGCCAGAGCCACCGTGTTGCACGGCTGAGGCATGGCTTTTGGGCCGCGCAAGCGGCGTGCACAGCTAGCCGCGCGGGCTGCTGTCGAGCCAGCCGAGCCGCTGAACGCAGCACCCCTTTCCTCGCGTGCGCTCCGTGTTTGGCCGCGCAGCGAGCGTATTTGGTCCTGCGGCCAGTGGTGACGAGGTGTACGAGGCGTCAGGCTGCCGCGAGGTCGTCGAATCGGCGTGCCAGGGATGCAATGGTGCGGAGGGGGGCTTGGACGGGGGTATGCGGGCAGGTGTGGGGCGCAGGTGATGGTGGTAGGAGTTGAGGCCGGGGTCGGATACGCTCGAGAGGCAGGCATGGGGCTTGGGCGCGCGTTGCACACGCCCCACAGCGGGGCTGTCATGGGGACCCGGGTGGCGGCGTGCTGTGCAGCCCTAGTAGCTGCCTGACATATCAGGTTCGCGGCTGGGGTGCCGACGCCCCTTCTGGTGTGCCGTGATGACGCCCCCAGGCACGGTGTTCCTGTACGGCCAGACTGGCAGTGGCAAGACCTTCACCCACGAGGCCATCACGAGGGCAGCGGTGGCCTCCATCTTTGGCCGCGCCCTGGAGGAGAGCGGGCGCGAGCTGGCGGCCGTGACGCTGTCGGTGGTGGAGATCTACTGCGAGCAGATTAGGTGCCTGCTGACCGGGCGGGACGTCACCCTGCGGCAGCCGCAGCGCGGCGGCTGCGTGCTGCTGGAGGGAGCCGGCGAGCAGGTGCGGCGGTTCCCCTTGAAGGATGGGACGGCCGGGATGCGAGTGCCACGACCACTGTGCCTGCCGCACGCGCTCGGCTGAGACGACGAGCGCATGAGGTGCTAAGAGCCCTTTGAACAGCGTGTGCTCTTGTTTTGCGTCACTTGACCGCCCTCCATTGCAGCACCACACTACCCACCACTGCCACCACCGCCATTACTCCCTCCACCACTACCATATCAGCAACACCGCTACCACCCCCGCCATCCCGCCTCGCCTCCCGCCTGCTCTGCCTGCCAGGCGTGCGCCGGCGAGGAGGAGATGCTGGCGCTGGTCAACGCAGCCAAGGCGCGCCGCGCCATCGGCGAGACCCGCGCCAACGCGCGCAGCAGCCGCTCGCACCTCGTGGTGCGCGTCCGCCTCGAGGTGCTGGAGCTCTGCACCGGAGGCGGCGGGGTCGAGGGGGACGGGGCCGGCGCCGGCGGTGGCGCCTTGCCGCACGAGTTCAGCGGCTCCGGTGGCTGCGGCGTCAGCGTCAGCGGCAGCGGCGGCGCCAAGGGGGTAGCGTTTGGTGTGCTCAACCTGGTGGACCTGGCCGGCAGCGAGCGCGTGGAGAAGAGCGGCAGCGCTGAGAGCAAGGCGCTGATGCGCGAGGCGCTGAACATCAACAAGTCCCTGCTGTGCCTGGGCAACGTGGTGAACGCGCTGGCGGAGAGGGCGGAGGGCCGCAAGGTGCACGTCCCGTACAGGTGCAGCGGCGGGGGCGGCGCTGGCGGCGGCGTTGGTGTGGGCGGTGCCGCAGCATATGCAGGATGGGGCAGGCGCAGGCGTGGCCGCAAACAGGGGCCCTGGGGCCATGCTGCATGCGAGGAAGGCAGGAGAAGGCGAGGAAAGAGTGTGGGGCGCAAAGCGCATGCAGCGCTGCACGGCTGTCGGCTCATGGCAGGCCCCCTGTGGACTCTCGAGCCCCTTGCTTACACCCCCCAACGCCCTGCGCACCACCCCCTCCACATCCTTTGAACTTAAAGGGACTCCAAGCTGACGCGACTGCTGGAGGACGCCCTGGGCGGCAGCGCGCGCACGGCCCTGGTGGCGTGCGCCACGCCGCTGCCCGGATTCCACCTGGAGCAGACCCGCGCGACCCTGGACTTTGCGGCGCGCGCGGCGCACATCGTGTGCACGCCGCAGCGCAACGTGGTGGCGCTGGACCCGCCGGCGGACTCTGGCGAGGCGGTGGCGGCGATGCAGGGGGAGGTGGTGCGCCTGAGGGAGGCACTGGCCGCGCAGGCAGCAGAGTGCGAAGCCCTGCGCGCGCGCCTCACCAGCGGCTGCGGCGGCGACCCCGCGGCTGCGGCGGCTGCTGTGGGCCCCGCCAGCGCGCTCGAGCGGCTGAAGCGGCTCAGCCTCAAGCGCGGTGGCGGCGGCTCGAGGGGCCACAGCGGCGGGGGCGCCGGCGCGGCCTGGCCCGGCGTGGCGGGGCCTGGCAGCCTGGCGGGCGGCAGTGGGGCCTGCAGCGGCGCGCGCACGCCGGAGCTGGCGAGCGTAGGGGGTGCGCACGGCGACGACGACCGCAGCAGCAGAGCGCGCGCTGCGTCGGCCATCTCCCGTCAGTCGTTGCCGGGCGTCTCGCCCGTCGGCTCGCTGCTGTGGCGCATGCTGCACCCCAACCGCAGCACGGACGGCCTGGGCAGCCTGCTGGACCCGGCGTCGTCTGATGGCCACGCGGCGCCGCAGCACCGCGGCTGTGCCGGCGGCCTGCTGCACACCACGGGCTCGATGATGCAGGGCTGGGGCGGCGCCGGCAGGAGCGAAGCCGCGGCGCACGGGGCGTGCGAGCGCAAGTGGGCGTCGCAGGGCGGCATCACGGCGCCCCGCAGCGGCGGCGGCCTGCGGCGCAACTTGTCCCTTGGCGGTTGTGAGGTGGGCGCTGCTGCCGCGGCCACCGCGCAGCGCGCAGAGGCGTTGAACACGGGCGGCAGCGCGCGGCGGGTGACCGACGGCGACTGCAGCGCGGAGGGCCACGCGTCCGCCGCGGCGCGCGACGCGTCGCTGCGAGAGCACATCATCCGCCAGCTGGTGGCGCTGCTGCAGCAGAAGAAAGGCGAGGTGCGGGCCCTCAAGGAGAACGTGGCGAGCCTGGCGGAACGGCTGGCGGCTGCGGAGGCGGAGCACGCGGCGAAGGACGAGCGGCTGCGGCAGATGGTGGAGGGCATAGCGCGGCTGGGGGCGGCGCGGCACGAGGAGTTTGCAACATGGTCATCCCACCTGGCGGGGCTGGAGGCCGCGGTGGTGGCGGCGCAGCAAGAGGCACTGGCATACCGGGACGAGGCCACGGGGCTGCAGGCGGCGCTGGCGGAGGCGACGGCGCGCTACACGGCGCAGGCAGAGCAGCTGCGGCGCACCAGCCTGGTGGTGCTGCAGACGGGGCACGCGCTGGCCGACGCCAAGGTGGGGTAGGGCGGAGTCGAGGCGGCGCGCCGCGGCGCGGCTTAAGCCAGGGGAGGGTGTGCCTGTGTGGAGGGATTGCGGGCCCAGCCATAGGCCGGGATGGGCAAATTCAAGAGAGCCCTGCCAACACGTATTGGGCGTGGATTGCTGCTGCTTCTGCGGCAGCGGCGGGTGGAGGGGCATGTGTAGAGGAACGGACACTGCTTACATGGGCCTGCTACGCCGTTGCCCCGGCGCCACCTCTTCCTTGCTAGGGCAAGGGTGCCCCGGGGTTGGCAGCATGCCTGGCGGCCCTGGCCTCCATCAAGGCCGCCATGGAGGGTGCGCTCAGGCGGGCCGACAGCGGCGGCTGCAGCACCACTGGAAGCGAAGAGGGCGGCCAAAGCGAGCAGCAGCAGCAGGAGCAGCAGCAACAGCAGCAGCAGCAGCAGCAGCAGCAGCAGCAGCTGGGCCTGCTGCAGCAGCTGCTACCGCAGGTCCAGGCGTTGCTGGACCAGCACCGCGAGCAGCTGAGCCTGGAGGCGCGGCAGCAGCAGGTGCTCAGCAGCAACCAGCAGCTGCGGCCACTGGAGGGCGGGGGCGGCAGGCCGTCTGCGGTGTGCAGCAAGTGCGAGTCCACAAAGCCGCTGCTGGCCTTCATGCAGAAGGTGTGGTGCGCGCGTGTGGGGAAGGGCGGCGCCACACAGCTGAGGTTGCGTAAGCCGCCCCGAGGTTTGTTCGTGCCTGTGACCAACCTGCAGCGTGTGCACAATTGGCGCCCCTTTCGACGTCAGCCCAACACACTTTCCGCGCCGCCTCGCCCCTTGCCCTTCGCCCCACCCGCAGCTGAAGGATGACGCCGTGCAGCTGCGCGCCGCCGTCAGCGCGCGCGACGCGCAGCTGGCCTCCAGCGCCGAGGTCATGGCCACCCTGAGGGGCGACCTGGCGGAGGCGCGCGCCCAGGCCGCTGAGCTGGAGGAGCGCCTGGCGGCGGTGGCGGCACCTGGGGGCGGCTTCGAGACCGACGGCGACGCAGAGCGGCCGCACGGCGGCTGGGGCGCCCTCGCCAGCCCCATGGGCCGCAGCCCCTGCCATGTCGCCGGCGGGGGTGGGTTTGCCGAGCGGCTGATGGAGGGCGACGCGCCCCTGGAGCAGCTTCACTACCAGGTGGGGCCGTGTGGTGCGTGGAGCTGAGCGGCGGAGAATGATCATGGCTGGGGCAAGGGGGGTGGGGGTGGAGGAGAGTGCCGTCAGGCCCGGGTGCAGGGTTGCGGGCACGCAGCGCGAAGTGGCCACGCGCCGTGACTCATGGGCAAGTGCGCCCCGCGTGACCTGCAAAGCCTGCATCAGCCACGCAGCAATCGTACAGCTGCGGGGTCTTAGGCTGTGCGCGCCCTTGCCTCCCACCCCGGCTGCCGTCAGATCCTGAAGAGCTGGGCGGCGCTGGCGGTGCCCCACTGCCTGCGGGCCGCGGTGGTAGGCCACGCCTCATGGGGCGCGGTGTCGCAGTGCCAGGCGCACGTGGCCCTGCTGGCCTGCCTACACCAGCTGCACGAGGACGCCCCCGAGAGGCAGGACAGGGCGGCAGAGGCGCTCAGGGAGGAGGGGCGCATCATAGCAGCAGGGCTGGCAGCCATGCCCGAGAGGTGCGGGGATGGGGGGTGGGGT